TTTGCTTTGTACACACTCTTGCCTCCGTTTGTAGAGTTATCACAACTCTCTCAATAGAAAAACTCTGCAACTTTTTTTTTCTCTTGAAACGGCTAACCCTAGACAAATCTACTTCAACCCCTTTTATATTCGTAGGGTAAGTAAATCTTCTATGCTTGTCTTTTCTTGATTCTCACGAATCCAATACCCTTTGATACGAAATTTTCCTTTACTGAATAGATCCTTCTTGTTTGTGCGTAATCTACGTCAGCTTCTTTTTGCTACGTCACTTTCGTTCTCATGTTGGAACAGCTCCGTATGTGTTCCAGCAGCTTGTATCTTGTTACAATAAAAGCTCCTCTTTCAATTGCTAGTATTTACAGAGGAAAGGAGAAGAAAACATCTGAAAACAACTATGATAAGGAGAATTATTCATATTGATGATACTAAGATCATTAAGCTTCCACACTTTAGCACCTTCACCTTGCACTCCTTTCCTAAATTTATACCCATCTTCATCAAAGTAGATAGCATTCTCCAAACATCCATAGTACGCAGAGGCTAAGACCGTAAAACAACTATCCGTAGCCACAATGAGTGCCTTGTCTTCCAAGGAACTAACCTCAACCCATTTAGCCAACTCCTTGTCCATCTTATAGACCTTAAAACCAATTGTCCTCTCAAAATCAGTTCGCATGTGAACTTTCTGACAAACGATGAACCACACATAGATCTCCACAATGCTCCACAAGTCTTTTGTCTTTGCAATCATTGATCTTGCGATATTTCACTGGAGTTGAAGGTCCGTATTGAGATATATTGAGATCAGATAAACTATTATTATTAATACGCCAAATTAGGCCTTTTAAATCTAAAGCATAGACTTGTCCTCTGTGAAGTATAACGTCCGAGAATTCTCCAACATATTTGTTTTCGACTCTTCTCCATATACTACTTCCTTCTACACGCTTGCAGCACCAGAATTGCTTGTTGGTGTCCACTACGTAAACATGATTGTCTGCTAAAACAACTCTAGACGAATCACGTAAATTTTTCGTTTGCTTGTTCAAGAATTGAACGTTGTAAGATTGACGAATCTCTGTAATCACGAACTTCAAAAGATCTAGGGTTTTGTCGGAAGGAGTTATGAGCTCCTTAGAGAGGGGAGACAAGAGACTAATCTTACTTGATTCAGAGATTTGTCTGGTTTTGATCAGCCATCCTTTGTTAGGATATGAAGACGTAGAAGAAGCTTGAGTTACACGGAAGAAAGTGTTGGGTAAGACGTCACTCTTTTTCTTCCTATTGGAAGGACCAACAAGGCTGCGTTTAAAGCGGTTGAGGAAACGCTTTTTGGTCACAACCGCAGAACGCCAGGGTTTACAAATGCTACGGATACGGAGGAGATAGATGTTGGCAGACCGATTAGCAATTGAATCGACGAGTTCTTTAGGTAAATCAGACCACCGTACGGATTTACCCATCTAATTCTCTATTTCTCTGTGTTGTTTCTTGTTAGTGAAACAATTTCAGAACAAAACCCTAAAATTTTACGAAACTGAGAGGGGTTATTGGGAGTAGGATTTATAATGATTTTGAGAATTTTAGATTCCAATGTTATGGATTTTTTACAATTTTACTCATTAATTACAATTTTAAGGATACACATAAAATTCTAAAAATCGTTCTTTTATAGATTTTTTTTTTTAACATCTGTTTTATTTCAATTTAAAAATTTAGTACAAAGATATTAACGATGTTTACATAGTTATCTATGACATAGAGGTACAACAAAGATATAAACAATGTTTAAGTAGAACGATATAAACGATGTTCTTTTATAGATTTATTGAATAGACAAATCTCTTTATAAACTTAACAATTCTCTCTATATATTTAATAAATCTTTAGATTTTTAAAATCAACGAACTCTATATGTACGGCCAGTAACAATATATAGATAGACAAAACCTAAGATTTAATTAGATTTACTTTACTTTATAAATCGGTTTCCATTTCAGATTTTATGGACCGGTTCTGTTTTCATCTAAATTCAGAAACGTGCTTCCAAAATCTGTAAGAAAACTTCTAGATACCTTACTAAAGAGTGTAATTTTGGTTTCTGTTTAAACTTTCAGTTTCTGACAAAATCACAATAATAAAACTGAACCGAAGACCATCTTCATTGGGAGGTTCTCACAAGAACCTCTCATCTATACAAAAATAATAAATTAACAAATACTAATATTTAATTACAAGAATTTCTAATAAAAGGTGAGAAAGTCTCTCATTTGAGAAATTTTAAGAGAGTATCTAGACAATTTTGAGAGACGTC